TTATTAATTTAATATTAAAATAAAAATTAATTCAAAGTTAAGTTAGGCTCACTTTTATATTTACCCTACTTAGATATAGTAAAATTGGATTCAATTCGAAAATCCGACCCAACTCATCTGTTATGAGTAGGATCATAAATCATTTGTGTTAATCCAAAATCCGAAATCCGAAATAATCCGGACTAAAATTATCCGACCCCAAATGAATTGGGTCATGGGTGGGTCGAGTCACCCGAAATGACCTGAACTTTTTTTTATTCATTTTTATTAGATTACTTACAAATTAATGTTAAATTTCTAATTTCCTAATCCTAAAAGTAAAAATAAATAAAATACTCAAATCCTAACCTCTCATCAATTTCACTTTCTCTCAACTTTTCCACTTCTCCACTCTCGTTTTTCCCTTCTTCATCCCAAGCTCTCTAATCCTTCTCTTTGGTGGCACTTGCGTCAAAAATTAGATTAGGTAACACATAGTGAGTTATATCATATGACATCGTAAAAAAAATCATTTAAAAAAAAATAAAAAGCAAGAATGCCTACTAAAAATCAAAACTCAATGATTGAGGTACCTTCATAACTATTAAAAGTACAAAAACAAGAATATCAAAAACTATTCTTAGTTGCTAATTTGTTCTTAATTAATAATTTGTTCCTAATTAATAAAAATCAATTCTGATCCAATTTCTTTTTGTATTTGGTTAGACATATTTTGGATTTGCCTTTCAAACTTTAATATTGAATAAGACTATATTTTTTATATAATGTCTTCCTAAATATTAAATAGAACTGTATTTTTTGTATAATACTCTTACAAATATTGAATAGGCACTAGATATTAATATATATTGAATTTTTTTTTTGAACTCTAATCCTTCATGTCTTTTCTTTTAATGAAGATTAATACGTTTATGAAATTATGAATTCTAAATATTGTATATGTATTATATATTTGACATATATTTTAGTTCCACCTATATAATCACTAATTTTTTCCTTTTCTTTTCTTGAGATTGAAAAAAAAAATTGAATTATGAAATGGAAATTAATGTTTAATAAAGTTTTCTAACTAAATAGTTAATTAATAATAAAGTTTTTTAACTAAATAGTTAATTAGTATTAGATTTTGTTAAAGAAAAAAAGAGAAAAATATAGAAAAATTTTAATTTTAATTTTAATTTTAATTTTTTAAAAGTTGAGTCCACCAGATACAATCCGAAACTCATGTAGATAAGTTATGGGTAAATTTTCTTAACCCAACACCAAAAATAACTCAATTTGTATAACCCGAGATCTGAAATGATCTAGTTCAACCTGTTTACCAGGTCTAACCCTACTACTAAATCATCTTAATGACATCCATGTTTACTATTTATATGTTCATATCACTGCCAAGTAAGCAATTGGGGCCACAAAAATTGAACTTGCTGTTAGTTTTAACGAAATGATGACATCATCGGTCAAATAGGGGCTGAT